GCTTGTTCATCTGAAGGTATATTACACAAGGTCTCCTACAAGGGTACTTAGAGAAAGCTGCTGCTGTGGGAAGGGGACAAAGATGTGATCAGTCACCCACTCACTGGGCTTGGGCCCTAAACTGACTCCTTGATGCAGATGTGGACCGATTCGTAGTGAGGCTTTTCTTCATTAAGGCTGGCCACAGCTTTCAACAAGTTGGTCCCCTGCCATTAGAGGTCTGCAGGCTGCCACCACGTCACTGTCTCCACCCTTCCCTGAGCTCCCTTAGAGCCATGACTCAGCCCACAGCTCTGTGGCCACCCTTGCCTTGCTGAGCTATTCTCATCTCGGTGGGATATTGCTCACATTCCCCTTGGGGTCCTTCCCATTCCTAGAGATGCTCTCCGTCATAGCCTCCCAGCCCAGCCAGCAGTACTTGTATGGACCTCTGACCCTCCTTCATACTCAAGACTTCTTTGGCCGCTTACTATTGGCTCTGTTCCCATTGTGCAGCGAGGTGACAGAGACCTGCATCTCTACTGGAGCCCTCAGCTGGGTCACCCCATCCTGTCCTGTCTTAGAAGGCCATTGTGAGAGCCCTGATCCCTCTTGTCTCTTATATACCTATGATGAATTCCTTCCCATCTTCTGGGCCTCTGGGCCTGCCTGCCTCTGTGTGTGTGTGTGTGTGTGTGTGTGTAGCCTAGACCTCTAAATCTTTCCACCTCAGTGCTGGGATTAAGGCATGTGCCACCAAGCTTGATTGGAACAGATAAAAAAGATTTACTTTATTTTATGTGTATGGGTGCTTTGTTTGCATGTGTCTGTGTACCACATGCATGTAGTTCCAACAGAGGCCAGAAGAGGGGGGTTGGATCCTACGGTAATATGTTTTTTATGATTTAATAAAGCCACTGGAGATCAAAATGCAAAGTTAGCCACAGCCATAGAGCCAGGCAATGGTGATACATACCTTTAATTCTACCGTCAAACTAGTTAGCTGTAGAAGCTGGGCAGTGGTAGCACATACCTTTCATCCCAGGACACAGGAGACAAAGGCAGATGGCTCTCTTGTGAGTTCAAGGCCACTCAGGGTCACATTAGAGTCAGTCTAAAAGAGAGACAGCTCACACAAAGGAGATCTCAGCACTTGGGATCCCATGCCTTTTATCCCAGCTCTAGAGATGTAAATAAGACAGGAGTGGGGCATTCAGTACTCAGTCTCAGATCTATTCTCCAGCCCTTTCAGCCTGAGGTAGAGGTAAGAGCTAGTGACCTGCTGCTTTGCTTCTCTGATCTTCAGTTTGAACCCCAATATCTGTCTCTGGGTCATTTATTATTCATGTTATAGGATTCCTTGGAAACTTAGAGTTACAGATTGTTGTGAGCCACTATATTGGTGCTGGGAACCAAACCTGGGTCCTCTGCAAGAACAGCAAGTGCGTTTAACTGTGGTCTCATCTCTCCAGCCTTTGGACAGATTCTTAATAGGACTTATGCTTGTGACTTTAGGGGGGGTTCAGCACGATCTACACAGCGAGATCCTGTCTCAAAAAACAAACAACTGGGGTTGGTGGTGATGTGGAGCAAGCACTCAACAAGGAAGACAACGAAGAAAAGAAGACAGACAGTTATAGTGGGTAATCGTACAATATTCACTCAGTACCTACTGGGTGTGCTATGGTTAAGGAGATTAGATATGAGAAACAATGTTACTATAAGACCGATTACCTATTAAATAAGAATCCAGTGTGGAGTAACCTAAGGCTGTTGGACTCTGCTCAATTCCTGAGAATTTAATGATAGTCTCTACATTTGGGCTCCTTGTCTTGCTGTACACAGTTGCTCCCAGTGTGTCCCCCTGGTGTCATTAGACCCTGAGGCACAAGCACTGGAGAGGAACCAGGGAACCTCTGCATCTGACCTCATCATCCCATTCTTCCCTTTGTGAGTTTCTTCAGCTGCCTAAACCTTTCACAATGCTACACTTGTTTTTCTGTGAATGAATCCAGTTTGTGTGGTCCAGTGCCCCCTAGCGTACCAGAATGTGCAGTGGCAGAGCCATGTTCTCCCACATAAATGGATCTGTGCTTTGAGATGCCACTGTTAACCTGTAATTACTAGTTAGTTACACAAACTTTCTTACACCACACTTAAAATGACGGTCTTTTCATTCATTTTCATAAAATAGCACTATTAACGGCAAACCTCTTAAAGGGATTGGCTTGTTTAATCTGAACTGTAATTGTAACATTGACCTAAAGAACACTCCACTAGCTTACTCATTCTGGCTCCAATGAACAATCTGGGGAGGCTGAGATGGTTCAGCAGGCAAAGACGGTTGCTACAAGTCTCATGACCTGAGTTTCAACCCTAAAACTCACAAAGTAGAAGGAGGAAACTAACTCTGACCTGTATGAATACATACACACACAAAAATATATTTAAATGTAAAATAAAAACCTTTCAGATTTAATTCGTCTTGGTCACTTCCCTCTAGAATATTCCCTCAGGATCTCACATGGTGATGACATTTTCTGTTTATAAACATATTACTTTAATCTTAAAGTTTTCCTCCCCCCACAAACTCAGAAACTTAGCAAATGAAAAATATCGACAACCGTGTTAATTTTCCTGGCCATGTGTAATACATATTGAGACTATGAAGCACTTTAGCTATGCTCCCCTGGTTCTATTGGCAAGGGCTTTACTTGTTGGCTGAGAGGGATGCTCATAGGGAAAGGAGGCCTTTACATCCGTACAGTTGGGGAGGAGCCAAAGGTGACTTCTGAACTCTGCTACACTGTGACTTTAGGACACAGCATGCCACTGAGTTATCATGGCAGGCCAAGGCCAAGGCAGAGTTCAGCTGTCGATGGACGGACTGCAGGTGGGACTGTGGTAAGCAGGAAAGATACTGCTTTCTGGGGCTAGGGTGCTTCCCCTCCACAGCCTTCTCTGCTGAGCACACCACCCACCACTGGCCCTTGACTTCCAGACACCTTGTCTCTGAATAACTCACACTTCTATGCTGCTGCTGAGGGATGAATGTGGGTTTCCGGTATTGATTAGTGACACCCAGGAAACCCATCTTGGAGTAATGCCACTTGTGTAAGTAGCAGGGTTTGGGCAACTACCTACATGTTTACTTAAGTGAAGATTACTGGAAAAGAACAACAGGTGGACTGGTGTTAGTGATAAGTGCTGATGAAAGGGCCGGCAAGGGTAAACATCTCAACTCCACCAAATGTGCCCTGGAACTAAATGGCTCCCTAAAGCTCAACTATAACAAAGTAACATAGTGTAAGATGCTAAAAATCATGGTTTCAAAATTTATGTGTAGAATGCAATTCAAAAAATGGAAGAAATTGTAAAAAAATAAAATTACATCAGAATAATCAGACTCTGACCCAGGGCTCCTCTGAGGGAAGAATGTAGTGCGGTGAGATGCACCTGCTGGACTCCTCAGCATTGTTTTCAACATTGTTTCCCTGAGCAACACTACAGTCATGAGTGTGGAGCTCGGTCTGCTGTGCCCCTTTGCACCTGACCCATGGGGTTATGGCTAGGCTCAAGGTTCACATCGAGATACCATAAACACAGGAGATAATTTACATTTCACAGTTATCTGATATCATGTTTTCATTATACGACAGAAAACATTTATATCATAATCATGGATTTTATATCATTTTATGAATTTCTGGGAATTGGAGGTATAGAGCTGGCTCAGGGATTAAGAGTGCTTGCTAGCTAGGCGTGGTGGCGCATGCCTTTAATCCCAGCACCAGGAGGGAAGAGGCAGGCAGATCTCTGTGAGTTCCAGGCAGTTTGGTCTACATGATGGATTCCAATATAGCCAGGACTATGGGAGAGACCCTGTCTTAAAAAAACAAAAACAAAAACAAAAACCAACACTCAGCCCCTGCCCAAGCTATACCAAATAACAAGGAAAAGAATGTTTGCTGCTCCACCTTGAGGACCATGCTGGCACCCATGTTAGGTGGCTCACTAATGTCTGTAGCTTTAGCTCTAAGGGATCCTCTTCTGGACTTGGCAGAGCTCTGCTCTCCCACATGTACAGATACTCATATAGACACATAAACATAAAATGAAATAAAATAATGTTAAGTATTTTTAAAGAGTAAGAGTAGCTGGTGAATATGATCAAATTACATTGCGTGAAATTTACAAAGAATTTATAAAAATATTTTTACAAACAAATTCTGGGAATGGAATCAACCTAGGACAGGTATAGTATGACAAGATTTCTGAACACCTATCACATACTTCTAGGATCAAGTACACTCTTTGAGGAGAGCCATGGCTGGGTCACATAGCCTTCTGGGACAGCAGAGGCAAGGGGTATCCCTGCTCAGTAGCCCAGACATCATTTCCTGAGGACTGGGGAGGTGCAACACTGGCAACAACATTCACAGATTAATCCAGTGTACAGTCTGCCTGCACCTCAGCCTGTCTGCAGAGTGAGTGGATGTCTTCTCCAGAACCAGACATGTTCTCTGGTAAAATTATAGGCAAAGAGAAAGCAAAGCGTTAGCCCCTTCCCCAGACCTTAGGGTGTTGAATTATGAGAGACAGAGGGACTGGGACTGAGGCACGTGTCACTTAACTATGAGTGCCAGATGTGTCCCATAGGAAGGGTCTGCGGTCCAACAAAGCAACAGGTTCTATGCCCTTAGGCCTTATCTGCAAGGTCTCTGCAGAGATCTTCCTGTGGTACACAGCACCACACACTGGCTGGCACAAGTTCCAAATAACAGAACTTTGCCTCTGGAGACCCACAACACAAGGAGGAAATGGAATCACCCTGAACTGTTGGCTCTCTATGGGGATGTTCTGTGCACATATATTATTTTGTGGCACTAGCCTGACATCCTGAATTCCACAGAGTTGCAGCTGGAGATCCCTGACAGTGAGCCCCAGGTGCCTCCACAGCCACATTTAGGAGAGTTCTACAGTGTCAGGAAGAATACAGCTGCCAAAAAATTCCACAAGGCTATCCAGACTGCTACTTTATTTAGTTACGCCATCTCTCTAGAATGAGCTGTACAGTGATATTTACCGAGGAACACATACATGCCAGGGGCTGTCTGTAGAGTGTAGATTTGCAGGTGTGGAAGGCAAGAATGGGCTCATCCTCTCAGTGTCCATCCCCCCAGGGGGTGCTGACCCTATCGGAAGCATTAAGAGATGTAAGGAGTTGTAAGGTTGAAATGACTTCTTAATTCTATATTGCTCAGTAGAACAAGAATGTAGATATCAAATAAGAAAAATAAGTTGAAAAAAAGAGTTCACTGGCTTATATATGTATCTTTAAAATTTCATGTCAGATTAGTTCTTTCATGGAGATAGGAACCAAAACTAATGGGCTTCTGAACTACTGCCAAGAAACTGAGGAGTATGAGGGTTTGTATTTGCCCTCACCACATGTTATCTACACAAACACCTCATGTACGCACTCTTATGAGAGCAGCCTTGGTGCCAAAAAGCGGACTGAGCACTTGCCTGCACACTGCCTCTGCAGCAGGCCTGAAATGCTGATGGGTGGCCGTGGTAGTCCAGTCCATGAACTACTAACACTGGGAGAAGGCCCCTGTGCTGCTCTGCTGGACAGCTGTGATGCTGGACCTGGTGACAGTTCCTTGTAGGACATCTGCAGTGGTGGAACTCTAACAACAAATTAAACAAAAACAGTCACAGATGTTCTTCATATTTATGGTAACATGGTCATCCAAGCACTGACTACTGTATGGCCTTAAAGGTCATCTTTTGATGAAAAAAATGTGTTCTGAGTCCTCAAGATGAATAAGGCCTGCTCTAGGCTAAGAAGATGGTAAACAGGATCACTCAAGAGGGTGCCTGTATTCTGTCAGTTACCCTAGGAACACAGCCAAGAGGCATTTTCACTTTCCTTAAGGTCCATGAAAATAAGTTACTCAACAGGAGCAAAGGGAGCCAGGGTCTTTAAAACTTCATGATTGCTCTGTCACCACAGGCAGCTGCAGCCTGTATTTACCTGTCCCTGGAAGCCACCCCACTCTGCCTTCCCCAATCCTTCCAGCAACTCTGGGCAGTTCTAGCACCTTCAGGCCACCCTATATCTCTCTACTCATCCTTTAGTCACCAAGGGCTCCAGGTTCCATTCTCAGCACCCTGTTTTCTTTTCTTTCTTTCTTTCTTTCTTTCTTTCTTTCTTTCTTTCTTTCTTTCTTTCTTCCTTCCTTCCTTTCTTTCTTTCTTTCTTTCTTTTTTTAGTTTTTCGAGACAAGGTTTCTCTGTAGCTTTGGAGCCTGTCCTGGAATTCTCTCTGTAGACCAGGCTGTCCTCGAACTCACAGAGATCTGCCTGCCTCTGCCTCCCAAGTGCTGGGATTAAAGGTGTGCGCCACCGATGCCCGGCTTATTCTCACCATTCTTAAGGTTATGGACGCTTTCTTGGCAAGCCTGTTCAGACAATATTTTTGACTATGGCCTCCAGAAAGATGAGTCTTGACACTTGTGTGCTCCCCAGGCTCACCTTACAGGCTGTACTCAGCATAGTGTTATCATCAGCTGACTGGATCCCCTTCTTTGCTAATCTCTACTTTTTCTAGATTTTATGGGTTTTGGACACCCTGGAACCTTGTAGTTATTGGGGTAGTTATCATCCTGGGGTAGATAACTTCTATAATTGTGTGCACACTGCTCACAAGCAAACCTACTGGCCTACATCCCTATCTTCCTTTTCAAATTCACACATACTAACCTTTCTCTTACCTGTACATTCTGGATGAGCAGGGACTGCCAGTGAGCCCAGGGTCCACAGAGTTATACAGAACAAATAATAACACTTCATGCCTTCCACAGAAATCACAGAACAAGTTTGTATTCACTTTCCCCTGCCTGTTGGGGAAGTTCTGTGTATATGTCAATAAATCACTGTTGGCCAATAGGGAAGCAAGATAGGTGGGACTAGGAGTCGAGGAGGACTCTGGGTAGGAGAAACACAGGGAGTCAAGATGTAACTGCCATGGGGTAGGAAGCCCGGAAATTTCTCCGGTAAGAGAAATACTTAGATTAACAACTATGGGATAAATACTTAAGTCAGAGCTAGCCAGTAAGAAACAAGCAAGGCCAACAGCTTCATAATTAATATAGCTTCCTGTGTGTTCATTTGGGACTGACGCGGCTCTGGAACCAGGCTGGGAGGAAGGCTTCTCTTTACATAATGGTGATTATATGGTGATCAGGAGTGGGATGATGAATTTCCAACAGACAAATGCACATAACCTGAGGACCCAAGAGTCAGACATGGCTACATAGACTAGGCCATTTGCTTACTGCAGCTGGGTTAGCTAGAGGTAGGCGGTAAAATGCAGACTTGATATGGCATTGTAGGATGCTCAAGGGAAGCAACTGAAAAGAGCAGGGCTTGCCTTCTGGAGACTGGCCTTTGAGTGCTCAGAATGTGTGTGAGAGACACTAGGAGCCACCTACCTGTCCATGGAGAAAGGTGTGGCTGAGTGGAAGGTATGTCCTTAGAGTTGGTATACTATAGCCATAGACCAAGTCAGCCTGCCTCTGTTTCTGTGAAGGACTTTGTGGGGCACAGTCAGCCTGCTAGCTTCTGTTCCTCTAGACACACTCCTCATACAAAGGCAGAGTTGAGGAGCTGTATGAGAAGCAAGACTATTTACCTCTTGACTGACCCTAGCTTACTCCTTTAAGGAGTTATTGTGCAGCCATTAAGTAGTTCTTTTTGAGGAATCTAAGTCATACTTCAGATTAAAAAACTCAAATTATAAAGTGAAACATGTCATATTCTTAAAACATGGATACAGGATTAAGAGACAACCTGTCAACTTCAACTGGCTGGAGGTTTTGTCTGGCTTACATTTTACCCTAAGAGGTACCTACCTGATAGCCTTCGTCATGCTTGCATGACTGGGTGTCAAGCTGAGTTGCTGGGGTCCCCGGCAGGAGACACTGCCTGTGGAGGGAATAAATCACACTTTGTAGTTTTAGTGTGTCACATGTCACAGTGCCAGATCATACCTGCTGCTGCTTCTCTGCAGGTGTGATCATGCCTCCATTATGAGATCAGTATCAGGTAGCATGTGCACCCACAGATCATCTCTGACTCTAGGCAGCTCTGAGTGTTACTTCTTAGCTACCACGCACCCCAAACCCTTCCCACTGCCATAGAAGGAACATGTGTCTTGTGCTCTATTTTTCACCTATGTTCCTTTTCAACTTGGAGATAACGTGATAACAATTCAAATAAATTGGCACCCTGATGCCAGTAGTTGAGACCAGAACCAACCAGACCAGTTGAGTTGTAAACCCATATATTTGTATTTTTGGTCTATACACAGTGATTGTTTTAGTTTCCTAATATAGTAAACATTTGGCATCATAAAATGTCCCTTTGTTACTAGTAATATTGTTATCTTAAAATTTACTTTGTCTGCTATGAATAAAAACCACTCTATTTCCTTTCTGGTTGCTGTTTGCATAAGGTCTGTTTAGGTTTTCCTTCACCTATTTGTGCCTTTGAACTGAGTATATTTCTTATAGACAGAATGTAGGTAAAATTCTTATGCCAGTCTGACAATCTCTGATTTTTTGCTAGGTTGACCCTCACACATTGATAATGGGAGACTTCAATACCCCACTCTCACTAATGGACAAATCATCCATACGAAACTAAATAGAGACATACTGGAGCCAACAGATGCTTTGAACCAAACGGATCTAAAAGATATCTACAGAACATTTCACCCAATGTTGTGAATATACCTTTTCAGTACCTCATGGGATATACTCCAAAACTGATCACAAAGCAAGTTTCAACAGATACAAGAAAACTGAAATAACCCCCTGTATCCTATCAGACCACCATGAATTAAAACTAGATTTCAACAACAGAAACAACAGAAAGCCTAAGAACTCATGGGAACTGAACAATATAGTGATATATTATTTATGATATATTAAAGCTTGACTGAGAATTCAGAAAAGCAAAGTCAGCCACAAGCCATAGAAGCCAGGCACACACCTTTAATCCTTGCATCCAGAAGCTAGGAGGTGGTGGTACACACTTTTAATCCTAGGACTCAGGGTTAAGAGATATACAGATCTCTGTGAGTCCCAGGCCACACAGATCTAACAAGAGTGAATCAGTCTAAAAGAGAATCATAGATCACATCTTTAATCCCAACATTAGGAAAGTATATAAGACAGAAGCAAGGTCTCAGAGAGTCATTTGTTCTCTAGACACACTGAGGAGGCAGCAGTTTGAGATTTGGTGAAGAGCTTGTGTGTGGATCACCCCTTTCAGCCTGAGGTAGTGGTAAGAGCTAGTGGCTGGCTGCTTTGCTTTTCTGATAATCAGCTTGAAGTTTGAACACCAATATCAGTCTCTGGGTCATTTATTTATTTGTGTTACAGAACAACTCTATGATGAATGACTACCAGGTCATAGACTACAGAACAACTCTATGACCAATGACTGGAAGGCAGAAATAAAGAAAGCAATTAAACAATTCCTAGATTTCACTGAAAAACAAATGCGCAACATACCCAAACTTATGGGACACAATGAAAGTGGTGCTAAGAGGAACATTCATTGCACTAAGTGCCTACATTAAGAAACTGTCGAGAGGCCAATGGCGGTGGTGCATGCCTTTACTCACAGCACTGAGGCAGGGGTGGGGGTGGGAACAGAGGCAGATGGATCTCTGTGAGTTTGAGGCTAGCCTGGTCTACAGAGCGAGTTCCAGGACAGGCTCCAAAGCTACACACAAAGAAACCCTGTGTTGAAAAACCAAAAAGGAAAAAAAAAAGAAAGTAAAGAGATCTGATACTAACAACTTCACTGCACACCTAAAAGCTCTTAGAAGAAAAAGAAGCAAACCCACCCAAAACAGAAACAAAGAGAACAATACAAAGAATCAATGAAACAAGAGTTGGTTCTTTGAGAACACCAACAAGATAAAAAAAAAAAACCCTTATCCAAACTAACTAAAAAGCAGACAGGAAATATCCAAATCAACAAAATCAGAAACAAAAAAGCAGACATAAAATGAGACACTGAGGAAATCCAAGGATTCTTTAGGTCATACTTTAAAAATCTGTACTCCACAAAACTGGGAAATCTAAAAGAAATGAATAATTTTTTTGACAGATACCACTTACCAAAGTTAAATCTAGAACAGACAAGCAATTTAAATAGAACTATTACTGCTAAGGAAATAGAGAAGGAGTCATTAAAAATCTCCTAACCAAAAAAGCCTAGGCCAGATGGTTTTAGCACAGAATTCTACCAGACTTTCAAAGAAGAGCTAATGCTGAAACTCCTCAGATTATTTCACAAAACACAAACAGAAGGAACATTGTTAAATTCATTTTATGAGGCCATAGTCACCCTGATACCCAAACCACACAAAGATTCAACAAAGAAAGAAAATTACAGACCAATTTCCCTCACAAACATAGATGCAAAAATACTCAATAAAATACTTGCAAACCCAATCTAAGGACACATCAAGAAGATCATCCACCATGGTCAAGTAGGCAGAGATGGTTCAACATATGAAAATCAGTCAATATAATCCATTATATAAACAAATGGAAAGAAAAAAAAACACATAATCATTTCATTAGATGCTGAAAATGCCCTTGACAAAATCCAACACCGCTTTTTTTGTTTTGCTTTTTAGTTTTTCGAGACAGGGTTTGGAGCCTGCCCTAGAACTTGCTCTGTAGATCAGGCTAGCCTCGAACTCACAGAGATCTACCTGCCTCTGCCTCCTGAGTGCTGGGACTAAAGCTGTGTGCCACCAATGTTCGGCCAACACCTCATTATGATACAAGTGTTAGAGAGATTAGGGATAAAAGGAACATACTTAAACATAATAAAGGTAATTTACAGCAAGCTGGTTTCAAACATCAAATTAAATTGAGAGAAACTCAAAGCAATTTTATTAAAATCAGGAACAAGATACAGCTGTCTAGTCTTTCCACATCTATTCAATATAGTATTTGAAGTTGTAGCTGGAGCAATAAAACAACTGAAGAAGATTAAGGTGATACAAACTGGAGAGGAAGAAGTCAAGGCATCATTATTTGCAGATTATATGAAAGGCCTTAAAAATTCTACCAGGGAATTCCTACAACTTCAGTGAAGTGGCTAGATATAAGATTAACTGAAGGAGTCACAATGTAGCTGCCAGATGACCCTTTTCTCCGAAAATGGAAAGCAGTGGATTCCTTCCCGGCTTTTGTGGTTTGATGAACCAAGACCCCTGGAAGCAATGGCCCAGATGTTCCAACATCTAAGACAGCTGAGATGATACAGCCTTAAGGACTACAAAAAAAGGACTTGGCTAAGATTTCTGAGTTTTGTCATGAATCCCATGGTATGAACAGTGCCCCCATCCAGCAGGAAGCAGTTTGGAATGATCAACATCCAAATTCCTAGTGTTTATAAATCTTTGTTTACATTTAAATGGGGCTGTTTATAATTGGTTAATGATCACAACCAATCTCTTTTTAATGGTAAAAGGGAAATTATGGTATGGACATGAATACTTGGTATGGGTATAGTTTTTCATTTATTGATACAAATTCAAGGTCAATTTTGTGATATGTGTATTTTTCCTCTTAAGTATTGTGTTTATACTGATCTTTTAAAATGTAATGCATAATTACAGATTATAGATAGTTACTTATAATAGTCAGAACTTAGGTAAGTTAGGTTTTCTAGATATATAGAGATGTATTTGAGATAGATAGTCTTCAAACCTTTCAAAGACCTTCAGAAAATGGCATTTAAAATGGTTTAGGGTTTTTCTTGACAATGAGAAATGTCTGCTCCTGGCAGCACCAATTACATCTGAGAGGAGGAAACCTGTTATGGAGTTTGCTTTCAACACGGCAAGATTAGCCATTTGGGCAAGAAATGCTCTTGCCTGGACTGCTTGACTATTGCTGTATAAACTGGACATGCAGGACCCATAGAAAAGTGACTGCTGAACCCAAACAGTCCTACTGGGTTCCTGCTTCATGGAAGATTCTACCAGACTTTCTGCAGGACACAGAAAAATGAATGACAGACTGCCAGTGCAGATGGACAGTTTGAAATTTCTTGCTTTTCTAAGAAGTCTTCCAGACACACTGTGGCCTATGGGCTGAAGATGGATGCCCCAACATTACAGAGGAACTTCTGGTGAGTGTCCAGGTAGCAAGATGTATCTGTCAAATCTAGTCCTTCTGTGGTCTTTGATGGAGTTGAAGACAGATAGTTATAATCATAGTTTTCCTTAGTTATGATAAAAGATAAGCTACATATATAATTTGAGACTTACACAGATAGGATAGATGATAAAATATTTTCTTTAAATCTTACTAAATGTTAATGGACAAAATATTGTAACTTGATACCTGTTCTGTTATATGTTAAAGTTAAAACCTTTCTTTTTATTTTAGACAGAAAAGAGGAGATGTTGGGAGATGTCATTCTGTAAAAATGTGTCTGTTTGGTTTGAATAACGTACTGTTGGTCAATAGGGAAGCAAGATAGGTGGGACTAGGAGTCGAGGAGGATTTTGGGAAACAGAGACACAGAGAGTCACGATGTAGCCGCCAGATGAGTAAGAGGTCCACACCCTTTTCTCCGGTAAGAGAAATACTTAGATGAACCATTATGGGTTAAATACATAAGTCAGAGCTACCCAGTAAGAAACAAGCAAACAGCCAACAGCTTAATAATAATAAAAAAAGATTAACTGAAACAAAAATCAGTACACCTCTTATCCATAAATGTCAAATTGGCTGAGAAAGAAATCAGGGAAACAATATCCTTCCTAACAGCCACAAATAATATAAGATATCTTGATGTACTCTAACCAAGCAAGTGAAAGACTTGTATGACAAAAACTCCAAGTCTTTGAAGAAAGAAATAGAAAATATCAGAAGATGGAAAGATTTTCCAAGCTCATGGATCAACAGGATTAACAGTTAAAATGGCCATCCTACCAAAAGCAATCTACAGATTCAATGCCATCCCTATAAAAATTCCAACACATTTTTTTACAGACCTTGAAAGGACAATACTCAGTTTCATATGGAAAAACAAAAAACCCAGGATAGCTAAAACAATCATGTACAAAAAAAAAAAAAAAAGAACTTCTAGAGGTATCACCAATCCTGATTTCAAGCTGTATTAAAGAGCTATAGTGATAAAAACCACATGGTATTGGCATTAAAAACAAACAGGTTGATCAATGGAATCCAACCAAAGACCCAGACTTAAATTCATACACCTATGGACACCCGATTTTTGATAAAGAAGCCAGAAATATACAATAGAAAAAAGAAACCATCTTCAACAAGTGGTGCTGGTCTAGCTGGGTATCAGCATGTGGAAAAATGCAAATTAGATCGATATCTATCATCCCCCACACAAAATTCAAATCCAAGCAGATCAAAGCCCTCAACATAAAGTTAGACACACTGAACCTAACAGAAAAGAAAGTGGGGAATGGCACAGGAGACAGCTTCCTGAACAGAACACTGATAGTGCAGGCAATAAGATCACAATCAATAGATGGAACATCATTAACAGGAAAACTGATGTACAGCAAATGACAATGTCAATAGGACAAATGGCAGTCTACAGAATGGGAAAAGATTTTCACCAACTCCAAAGCTGACAGAGGGCTAATTTCCAAAATATAAAAAAAAAAAAAACCCAAGAAACTAGAAATCAACAAATCAAATAATCCGATTAAAAATGGGGTACAGATCTAAACAGAGAATTCTCAACAAAGGAATCTCAAATGGCTGAGAAACACTTGAAGAAATGTTTAACATCCTTAGCTGTCAGGGAAATGCAAATCAAAACTACTTTGAGACTCCAGCTTACACTTGTCAGAATACCTAAGATCAAAACCAGTTCATGCTGGCGAGGATGTAAAGCAAGGGGAACACTCCTCCATTGCTGATGGGAAGGCAAAGTTGTATATCAACTATGGAAATCAATATGGCAATTCCTCAGATAACCGGGAATCATCTACCTCAAGTACCAGCTACGCCACTCTTAGGCACATACCCAAAGGAAACTCCACTCTAACACAAGGACACAAACTCAACTATGTTCATAGTAGCTTTATTCATAATAGCCACAAACTGGAAACAACCTAGAAACAAACTCAATCAAAGAACGGACAAAGAAAATGTGGTACATTTATACAATGTACCACAGCTATTAAAAACAATGACATCAGGAAAACCTGCAGGCAAATTATCCTGAGTGAAGTGACCCAGACCCAGCAAAACAAACATGGTATGTACTCACTTATAAGTAGACATTAGCTATTAAGTAAAGGATAACCATGCCTCAATCCACAGACCCAGAAAGGTAAGCAACAAAGAGGACTCCAGGGGGAATACATGGGAAAATAGATTAGATTTTTTTTGGGTGGACTGGGGGCAGGTGGGGATGGGAATGGGAGGGATCAGGCAGTGGGATATAAGGAGAGAGTACTGGGAGAAACAAGTGGAAATAGGGAGGCATTTGCAGGGTGATATGGAAACCTAGCATAGTGGAAACTCCCAGGAATCTATGAGAGCGAAGACTCCTAGCAATGCGGGATAAGGAACCTAAACCATCTATCTTCTATAACTAGGAAAGGCAAGGTTTGCAGCAGTGGCACTGGAACACTAACCCAGTCAAAAAATCTTTGACCTACAATCTGTCCTGCCTGCACAAGATTAGCTGGAGTAATAGTGGTGCAGAACTTGTGGGAGTGGCCAACCAATCACTGATCTAACTTGAGGTTCACACCACCAGAAGGAGATCAAGCCTAACATTACCTGGTCAAGAACCAGAGGCTGGACCACTCAGAGACCCAGGACAGAAGATGACTGGCAACAAACAAACAAAACAACAATGAAATGATTACTAACAATATTCTCTATACTCACAGATGGGTGCCTATCATCCAGCAACTGATGGAAGCAGATGCAAAGAGTTGCAGTCAAAGAACTGTAGGGGCCACAGGGGTTGAGGACACCATGAGAACACAACCCCCATAATCAACTAAGCAGGGGACACAGAGATTGAAGCAACAATCACAGAATCTGTATGTATCTGAGCTAGGTCCTCTGCATATGCATTATGGCCGTGTAGCTGGGTGTTCTTGTGGGACTCCTAACAGTGGGAGTCGGGGTATCTCTCACTTTTTTGCATGTTGTTAGAACCCTTTCCTCCTACTGGGTTGCCTTGTCCAGCCTTAATGGTTTGTGCCTAGTCCTATTGTCACTTGTTATGCCATGTTCAGTTGATATTCCTGGGAGGCCTGATCTTTTAATCATTCTCTTTTTTTCTGAAGGGAAAGAGAGAACTGGATGGGGGGGAAGGGCAGATGGTAGAGGGAGGAACTGGGAGGATTGGAGAGAGGGGAACCTGTGGTCAAGATGTAATGTACAAGAGAAGAATTAAAAAAAAGACTCCTTTCTGGTATCATGGCTTGAATTAAGGACCGTCAGTCAAGCAGTCAATTGGACTACCCTTAGGACAGCACTGACTGAGCTGCTTGCTGCTGAAGCACAGGCCCAGCTCTCGAAGGCATGCATGCCATTGCCACAATGCCAGACTCTGCTACTACAAATTTCAGCTAAGTTTTCACCCAATCCAGAGGGAAGCATATCCTCTGTTCATCTGACAGAAGGATTGTGACTGTATAAAATAGACAATGCCATAACTGGTGAATGAAGCAGGCTGTTATATGATAATGGTTGTTATTGTTGCAAACCTCTTTGTGGCTGTATCAGCAGGCTGTTAACTCACTTTTGAAGCCAGCCTGGAGATATTTCTTATGCTGTATCTGGGTTTTGAAACATTAGGCCCAATAAAAGTCTTCTCTGGAGTATTCTTCTTGCCTACTTGAGATTTTCATAATTAGTATGGCAGGATGAGCTGATTAAAATCAAGAAGAAAGCGGCAGCAATGGTAGGAATAGTAATTGTAGAAGAAGTTTCAGTGGGAACCACAGTAGCAGCTGAGTAGTGGCCAGAGTCATGGCAACAGCGACAGCTACAGTGGCAGCAGTGTCAAAAGTCACAGCAGTAACTATAACGCAAACAGTAGCAATAGCAGAGGCAGCACAAGTATCAGCAACTTGTGTCTATGGGCCTTACAGGAAGCCTTGCCCTACTTAAAAGTAAAGGGCTTGTTGGCTGTGGGCATCATGGGATGGCCCTTCTACCTGGTGTATCACTGATGCACAGTTGTCTAATCTGGAACCACAGATCTCTCACACAGGAAACACTAATACTGACTATCCCTGTGGTCTATGTCTGACATATATTCCACTTTTGTTTCATGGTTGTCACTCTGCTCTGAGAACTCAGCCTTGTTCCACCTAGTAGTGTCTAGTAGTGGCAGTGTTAGTGGCAACAGCAATGAGAGGCAACTGAAGTGTTGTGGAGATTGGCCGAGCTCCAAAACTAAGGGTCTCAGACATCCTAGGCCTGAAATCTGGGGAATCCTGGAATCTTAGATATTGAAGCTTTCACGCTAGTCACTGTCAAGGGCTGGGGAAATCCTAACTTTCTAGGCCTACATAATCACTATAACACTTGTTTCCTAATACTGAGGGTACCAGTGAGGCCTGCACATAAGTCATAACACTACAGAATGGCACCTTCTACTGCCTGCAGCCTGGCAGAAGAAGTCAAGGGTTATAAAAGCTGCCAAAGATCATCAGCACTGAAAGAGCTTTTCCTCACTTGCTCACCATTCCCAAACAGATAGAGCCAAGGACACCAAATAGTGGCTCGTAACATTTTATGAACCATATTATCTCTCTCTCTCCCACCCTCCCTCTCTCCCCCTCCCTTCCTCCCACCCCCTCTTTCTCTCCTCTCTCCCTCTCTCTCCCCCTCCCTCTCTGTGTTTGTATACACACACTTAGAGCCCAGGGGTTAATACTAGGATGTAAACTGTGGTAGCTGTTTGTTTGTTTGTTTTTTTTTTACATGGGTACCTGGGGAATGAACTCAGGTCCTCATGCTTTCCCTGCAAGCACTTTATTCACTGATCTTTCTCTTTACTTATGACCAGGATAGAGCAGAGGGAATGGCCATGGACTCTACACTTCTAGAACTGTGAGGAAAGGCTATGGATTTGGGAATTTTATCTGTTAGGTAACAAGAGCTCCCACACCCCAGAGCACGAAGAGGGCAGTGGATATTAGGGAGCCTGCATGAGAAGAATTAGGGTCTGGCAGGATCATTGGACAAGAGCCACCAGGGCAACCCAAGTCAATTACCAGCAAATAAAAGGCAAAACAATGTTTGATTAAGCTACAAGGAGACAGTAAAACGAGATCAATTTTTTTCCATGGTGCATTATCCCAAGAGCTTCTCCTAAAATAGTTCACAGCATCTCTGCTCTGGTGAAGCCAAAATTTCCCAGCCAGCTAGTGGATGGCAGCCCCAAAGTAGGCAAGCACTGACAACTTTGGTGAAATATGACTTTCAGGGAAAACATCCTAGTCTGTGCATGGATTTGAAGTTCACAGGGAATTTTACTTACCCATGCGTCCATCGTGAGGTGGACTAATCAGAGAGATTCTTGAAGGGCCTGCTGCCATCTCAGGCTATATATGCAAAAGAAAACAGCCAGTGAAATTTCCAAACTGCCACTTGTGAGAGTCCAGTTCTGTCCATCAGGAGCCATGTTCTGAAAATCTAGCTCTGCAGTCTTGTCCTCTGATAAAACTACCTGTTCGCTTGATGACATCCTCATAGGCTGAGACAGAGCAGGGCAGGGCAGAGGGTTGCAACAGCAAATGATGCAGGACCCCACTAAATTCCACAAGTAAGATTTCAGATGATCTGGTTGGAGCTTCCTTGCTGAACCCTGCTTAGGCGCTCTTCTCCCCCGAGATACTAGGAGCACAGGTGATGTCACTGTCCTTACTTGAGTCATAAAAGACCTCTGCCTTGCAAAGTTTAAATGTTTACTAACAGGATCAACAGAGTAAAAAAATGGCAACTTCGTCAAAAGCAATCTACAGATTTAATGCAATCCCCATCAAAATACCGGCACAATTCTTCACAGACCTTGAAAGAACAATTCTCAACTTTATATGGAAAAACAAAAGATTCAGGATAGCCAAAACAACCCTGTACAATAAAGGAACTTCCAGAGACATCACCATCCCTGATTTCAAGCTCTATTACAGAGTTATAGTCCTGAAAACAGCTTGGTATTGGCACAAAAATAAACAGGTAGACCAATGGAATCGAATTGAACACCCTGATATTAACCCACACACCTACGAACACCTGATTTTTGACAAAGAAGCCAAAATTATACAATGGAAAAAAGAAAGCATCTTCAACAAACGGTGCTGGCATAACTGGATGCTGGCATGCAGAAGACTGCAGATAGATCCATATCTATCTCCATGCACAAAATTAAGTCCAAATGGATCAAAGACCTCAACATAAATCTAGCCACACTGAACCTCTTAGAAAAGAAAGTGGGAAGTACCCTTGAACGAATTGATACAGGAGACCGCTTCCTGAACACAGCACCAGTAGCAGAGACACTGAGATGGACAATTAATAAATGGGACCTCCTGAAACTGAGAAGCTTCTGTAAGGCAAAGGGCACAGTCAACAAGATAAAATGGCAGCCCATACAATGGGAAAAGATATTCACCAACCCCACATCTGACAGAGGGCTGATCTACAAAATTTACAAATAATCCAACTAAAAAGTGGGGTACAGAACTAAATAGAGAATTCTAAATAGAGTCCAAAATGGCCTATAGACACTTACGAAAGTGCTCACCATCCTTAGCCATCAGGGAACTGCAAATCAAAACAACTCCACCATCTTATTCCTGTCAGAATGGCTAAAATAAAAAATACTGGAGAGGATGTGGTGAAAGGGGGACACTCCTCCATTGCTGGTGGGAGTGCCAACTCATACAGCCACTTTGGAAATCAGTATGGAGATTCCTCAGAAAAATGGGAATCAGTCTACCACAAGATCCAGCAATTCCACTCTTAGGCAAATACCCAAAAGATGCACATTCATACAATAAGGACATCTGTGCAACTGCAACTATGTTCACTGCAGCATTATTTGTAATAGCCAGAACCTGGGAGCAACCTAGATGCCCCTCAACTGAAGAGTTGATAGAGAAAATGTGGTACATTTACACAATGGAGTACTACTCAGTGGGAAGAAAACAGTGGAATCTTGAAATTCGAAGGCAAATGGATGGCACTAGAAGAAGCCATCCTGAGTGAGGTAACCCAGTCACAAAAAGACAAACATGGTATGCACTCACTCATATATGGATTTTAGACATGGAGCAGGGGATTGCAAGCCTACAATCCACACCACCACAGAAGCTGGGAAACAGTGTGGACCCTAAGAGAGACATACATGGTACCTCAGAGAAGGGGAAGGGGACAGGATCTCCTGAGTCATTTGGGAGCATGGGGGGAGGATAGAGGGAACTGGGAGAAGGAGAGGGGGAGAAGAGGAGGGGAGAGGAGGAAATGGGGCACCAGGAAGCTTGAGTCAGGGGAAGAATATAGAGGAGAGCAGCATGAGAGATACCATAATAGAGGGAGCCATTATAGGTTTGAGGAGAGATCTGGCACTAGGGATATTTCCAGAGATCTACAAGGATGACACCAATTGGCAATCTAACCAATAGTGGAGAGGCTACCTTAAATGCCCTTCCCCTATAATGAGATTGATAACTACCTTATATGCCATCCTAAAGCCTTCATTCAGTGGCTGATGGAAGCAGAGGCAGACACCCACAACTAAACACTGAACTGAACTCCTGGAACCCAGTTGCAGAGAGGGAGGAGTGATGGGCAAGGGGGTCAAGGCTGGGATGGTGAAGTCCACAGAAGCAGCTGACCTGAACAAGGGGAAGCTCACGACCCGAGACTGATGGTTGAGAGGCCAGCATGGGACTGATCCAGACTCCTGGAATATGAATATCAGTGAGGAGGCCTCGGCAATCTATGGGGCCTGGTAGTGGAGAGTCTGGGCCCTGACCGGGATGATATGACAGACTTTGAGGATTCCCCCATGGAGTGCCTCACCCTCCCTGGGGAGTGAGGGAAGATGGAGGGGTGCTGGTGGGGGGCGGGGGAGGAGGGGAGGGAGAGGGATCTGGGATTGACATATGGAGCAGGCTTGTTTCTAATTTAAATAAAAAAATTTAAAAAATGTTTACTAACTGCCCCCTTTCCATATGTCTGCCTATGTGTGGTCTGACACTCCACTTTGGAGTTTCACTCACTGAATTCTGTTTTCTCCAGCCACAAGGTATCAATCATGCCTGCTATCTTCAGTATCTTTAGTTCACCCTCTGCTTGGGTGCTAAGGAAACCTGAAGCTGAATGACCTGAACCCCCTACAAATAAGGGTCCCTCTTCACCATTGATGTGGCAATCTGGAGAACCACAAGTACAAGCACAACCCTGAGACAAGGCCTCAGGAAGAGAGGTGGAAGCAGATGTCTAGTCTCCCAAGGAGCTGAGATATGTAACTGGGATCTGTGAACTTCTGGAAGGTCTAAGACAGGGAGCAAGGGAGGGGGAGGTGCTCAGGGTAGAGTGGGCATACACTGGAAGAAGTGAGAATGTACAAGAGGGGGAGGGACAGTCTGTCTTTGTGCCAACTGCCAAGGATCTGAAGTATCTCTTCAAGACACAAATAACATCTCATTCCCTGCTAAAGTCCTACTATTTACTCTGAAACCTAGGTTCCTTTACAAGCAGGTTCAGGAGATTCTTTAGAAATGGACATGACTTCTGATTAACAAGTTCACATACTGGTATCTGCCTTGGAGGGCTATTAGCAGAGTGATACTCATCTACAAAGCATTTAAAATAGTGCTAGCAGGCAGGCAGAACATTACTAAAGGCCCTTGAAGCAACACAATAATAGATTCACACCGAATAAATAGTGTCATTAGAGTGTATACAGTGTCTCTCCTTTGCTCCATCCTACTGGTTACAACCCACCTGGTGATGCCTCAGCCTTGTGAAACATCTCCGAGGGCCTCATGTTTGAACAATATGGCATGAACACAATTCAGTTCTCTCTGAACTGGGGGGGGGGTGACCTTCATGATGCATCCCTAGGTTTGGTTTTATTTCCTCTGTTTTTATTTACAGTTGTGGTTTTGTTTTTTTCAGCCTCACATTTCTGGCCCACTTATTTTTATGGGCTGACAGGGTCCAGTTTATAATAAGCACTTCTTTCTTTTTAGATTATGGTCAAGGGCAGGTGAAACACAGGGCTATGAGCCCTGTCACTTTTACTAATAATGTAAGGGACTCTGTTGCCCTTACCATAGACCTGGCCATAAGGACAGAAGGGAATGTTCTTGTTTCTGATCACAGTTCATCTGTTAACTCTGGTGTCAATACAGTAAAGAGTTCTGCTAGAGACCACCATGTGCCTTGAGCAATGTGGCAGCCCAGGCATACTTACCTTTCTTGCTGGAGGAGTCAGGTTAATTTCCATTGATTCTATTCTGTTAAACAGTGAAATATGCTAATGAGATTGAAAATTTTCTATAATTTGAAAAATATCAGTTTCAATATCCTTGCATGTAATAAGTCAAAGAGTGAATTTCCCAGCCCTTTTATGGGGTTTTTAGGGTGTGGTTAGGAATAGATCTGCTACTTCTTGTGTATTCTACTGGCTGTTCATCAACTGTAAATTATGCATAACTTTTTTTTTTCAAGACAGGGTTTATCTGTGGCTTTGGAGCCTGTCCTAGAACTCACTCTGCTGACCAGGCTGGCCTTGAACTCACAGAGATCCCCCTGCCTCGGGTGATGGGATTAAAGGCATGTGCCACCACGCTCGGTAGCATAACTTCTCCAGAGTTGAGCTACAGCCCCCACACAACTGTCTCTTAGTTATTAAACTGCTACCTAGTACCACTGGCTAGACCCCCATTATCAGGAACATTCACTTACTGCTGTTAATACATGTAGTTAGCCCACATGTTACAGCATCCATTAGTCAAGAAGCAGACAGGGAAATATCAGCTGGATTTATTTTCAATTTGGCCCTCCTGTAGCCTGGCTACATGATGGTAGTGACCTTAGAGCAAAGAGACACCCTTTCTAACTACTTCAGCAGGAGTCCCATGATGGCTCATTAACTCACCCTACATATACAGTTGCTCCAATATCTATTTTAAATTTAATTTTCCTGGACGGTGATGTCACCTCAAGCATTTTCCAGATTCCTACCTTTCTCTTTGTCTTCAGTGTCTTAAATCCAGATATATGGTCTACATGATATTCTCTTGGTGATAACTCTTTCTGGGGAAGCTAGAGATAGTTTGCTTAATTGGTCTGATGACCTCACACCCCACAAGAAAGCACAAATGTGCTACAGTGACACTTTCCCAAACACACCTGCTTGCTGCAGGCCCATCAACCCACAGAAAAATCCTGTTTAGAGAACACCCTGGGCCCATTAAGACACATGTCCATGGAGATTCCCTCCTTATGCTTAACTCTTACTTCTGATTCATGAGGACCAAGGATGGAGACTGCCTTTCCAAATCAGGTCTTGGGACAATAATGGTATAATGAATGTGCACTTTCCATAGCCATAGTGTCCCAAGACACCCAGAGACACAAGATAGGGCTATCAGAATAGAGTGGTACACAAGGTTGAAGGGCCATCCCATTATATGGATAGACACAACTTTCACTTTTAGGCAGGGCAAGGATTTCTGGGAGGCTCACAGACACCTGATCATACTCAACTAATTGCTGTGGCTGCAGGAATGGAGTACTATAATTGTACAGTGAGGATCTAAGTTCTGACTCCAGGATCCAACTTCACACTAACGTAAGCTAAGTACTTAGGGTAGCTGGACATCCAGTGAACTGCCCATGATCTTAGTTAATGGGTGAGCTTTGGAGACTTGAAAGGAGAACCAGACAGAAAGAAAATGTAGAAGTATATAGAAGTGTATAGATATGACTATGGGTTACTCAATTTTCACAAATTCTTACACCACCCCACCAGGCCCACATACCTGTCAGGAATTGAAGAGTTGGGTGGCAGCAAGAGATAGCCATTTGGCTTTGCTGAAGGAAAAATGATTAAAAAAAAGTCTTTTACGTTAGTGTCAACTTTTTGTGGCTCAGCAGCAGGTATCTTTGTATTCTCGTTTATGATACTACTTCACTTACTTGAAACAGAAGTTTTGAATGTATTGAAAGCTGCTTGCTGTGATGACCTCATACTAAATAGATGGAATAAAGGCATTAGATTAATTAATGAAACTGATTTCTCCCCCATTCATCCCAAAGTATAAAAAGGCTTGGAAATAATTAACTGAATGAATTTCTACACATTCTCTTGGCCTACTGCTTTATTCCTTCACAACTGGAAAGCAAAGAAAACCAACACTGGCCACCATGCACATAACTGACACTTGTGGTTGCAACTATTATAATAATGGGTCAATGACAAGTTATGCTTTAAATGTATGAAATTCAAATGCATCAATAAGAGATACTAACCCATTCATATTTAATGGCCAACAGGAGAAATGGAGACAAGTAGATGAGGGTTGTAGTTTTATTGCCCCATCAAAGCAAGACTAGATTTCTGTTACAGAGACAGAAGAGACAACCTTGCCTGAGGTCTGATACCTAATAACCCTATTCAATGTCTGCTGCATGCTAAGCAGCTGTCTGTTCACAGCAGGATGTACCCTGGGCCCCTCTGTTGGCCTGGTCTCGTCCAGTAGATATGGAATGTTTATGTGAATATAGGGCAAAGCATGTCTGTGTCCACAGACTCACAAGACATGTGTGAACAATGCAGATGAGATACTGCAGCCTAGGCACTGGTCTGAATGCTAAGATAGTCTGTGCTTGCAATTAGTCCAGTCAGACCAAATAAGACTGACATTCATCAACAACTGTGACTTGAACCTCTGTTATAAGGTCACTTCCTGGAGTCCTCCATAGTATTCATTTCTCTCACCCAGTACCATTTCTCATAAGAGCACATGTTCCTGTCTGGTATATAAATTCATTTATTGCCCTCCATCAAACAGAAGCACCTCAGCATAAGCAGTTGACATGCTTGGCGCACATGAATGCCTGAAGTCAAGAATGGTGACTCTCAGGTGTCCACGGAATCCTGAAGAGGGCACTGGATTTCCTAGAACTAGAGTTATAGGCAGTTGTAAGCCACCTGATATGGGTGCTGGGAACAAAATCATGCTCCATTGCAACAGCAGCAAACGTTCTTAACTGCTGAGCCATCTCTCCAGTTCCCCAACTTTTGTTTTTGTTTTTTTAATAAGGATAGAGGAAAGAGGTTCTTTTCTTCAAGATGGAGGCAAAGAGTTTGGTCAGGAGCTACGATAAGTATTCACACCTGCCTTTCCGTCACATTCCCAGGCCCAATATGGCCATGACGTCTTCAGATGCTTGTATGGTCAGGGCAGTAGATGTCCATATACTCAGGCAACCAGTAAGAAAAACCAAACTGACCATTCCACACATAAAAGTTTTATGGGAAACTACCATTATCTCAGAAAAACACAGCCACCATGACAAAATATGCACCATGTCTTGTGTTGTCTAAACTATGGTGTGTTATGGAGTCCAAATTTCATGGATGCTAAGTGCAAATAAAGAGATTCGCAATTGTGGTATGATTAAGGGATTGGCCAACACAGACAAGAAATGAGAATTTTAATGTTTGTTATTTTCCAGATAGGGAAATATAATATACTTTTGGTTATTTGTAGCACTTTGAGATGTGCCTCACTATAGTTCATGTGTGGTTCATATTAATTGCTACCTTAATAGGACTCAGAATTGCCTAAATCTTTGGCATGTTAGTGAGCTGTTGCTATAGCCTCCTGCAGTCATTTGGCCTCAAACACACAGATACTATATTAATTATGAAGCTGTTGGACAATGGCTAGGGCTTCTTTTTTTTCAAATGTGGGCATCAGCATTATTTTTTAAAAGATTTTATTTATTTATTTTGTATACAATACTCTGCCTCCATGTATGCCTGTAGGCCAGAAGAGAGCACCAGATCTCATTACAGGTGGTTGTGAGCCACCATGTGGTTGCTGGGAATTGAACTTAGGACCTCAGGAAGAGCAGCCAGTGTTTTTAACCTCTGAGCCATCCCTCCAGCCCTGGCCAGAGCTTCTTACTGGCTATCTCTGTCTTAATTATTAGTCCATTTCTATTAATCTGTGTATTTCCACGTGGTCTTGGCTTATTGGAGAATGTCAGGACCTGTTACTCCTTTGGTTGGCTACATGTCGTCTGTCCTGACCAGCTTTCTCTGCCTACCTTTCCCAGAATTCTCCTTGTCTCCTAGCCCCATCTATCTTCCTGCCTCTACTGGCCACAGTGTTTTATCATCAACCAATAAGAGAAACATATATAGAAGGACATTACCCATCAGTGAGCAAGTTTCTAGACTGAGTTAATTGAATTGGGAAAACTCATTCTGAATGTGGGTGCGGTACCATCCAATGGGTTAAGAGGGTATTGGATAGAATAAAAAGGAGAGAGCAAACTGGCCCCCAGGATTTATCTGTTTCTTGACTGTAGGAGTATATGACCAGGTGCCTCATTGCTACTACCTCCATGCCTTCCCTACCACAAGGGGTAAAAATGTGGGTAAAAATAAACCTATTTTCTTAAGTTATATATGCTTTTGTCACAGTCATGAGAAAAATAATTAATATAGAAAACTGGTGCTGAGAAATGGGACATTACTGTGAAAAAGATGACCATGTGGTTCTTAGACCTTGGAAACCAGTTTGCAGGGACAATGTGGAATATTTTGTAACTTTGGGTTAGAAAATTCTTAAAACACCATAAGCAGAGCTTAATGTGCCAGTCTGGTGTGAGTTTGGAAGAATAAAATGCTGACAGAAATGCAGATGGCGGTGGCTTAGCTCATGAGCCTCTAGAGTAGAAGGGTTCCATCAGGCACTGGACTAGAGACGGCAGCAGCTTAGCTCATAAGCCTCTAGAGGAGAAGGGTTCTATCAGGCACTGGACTAGAGACCATTTGTGTTATGCTCTGGCAAAAACAGGGCTGCATTCTAATACTCACGTCTTGTCTGCCTGCTTTGCCCCATTCCTTCCTTCGAGAATATGAACGTTCAATTTGTGTCATTGTACGTTAGAAGTCCATAACTTGTTTTTTTATTTTATTTATAGAATCTCACAGTTAAGGTATGAACTGTATCTCATAAGAGACTCTACGTTTATACTTTTGAGCAGTTTTGGAACTGTTAAAGATTATGTGGACTTTTAAAAAAATCGGACAGCATTTTTCATTATAAGATGGTTATGGTGGAAAGTTATGGTTTTAAAGTGACGTTTGGATATGTAGCTGACAAAGGGTAGACTGGTGATGACTAACATCAACTTTACAGAATCTAAAATTTCATACGAAGAAAACTTGGGGCATACCTATGAGAGAATTTATAGGATGAATTAAATGAGGTAGGAAGACCCACCCTAAATTTGGGCAGCACTATTCCAGGAGCTGAGGTCTTGGACTTAATAAAAAGGAGGAAGTGAGCTGAGCACCAGCATGCATCTTTCTCTGCTTTCTGAATGTAGATAGGATATGACCAGCTGTCTCATCCTACTGTCGCCAGGCCTCTCCCACTATGATGTACTACTGTACCTCAAACTGTAAGACAAAATAAATCCCTCCTTCCTCAAGTAGCTTTGTCACAGAAATGAGAAAAGTAACTAATACAACGGACTTACTCAATGGCATGTGAGGAACACATGCCATGCCAAGCTCTCCCTCTATAGCTATCTATTATGTCATGCACAACATTCGCATTATGGCCACTGTAACTCCTGCCCCCTTACCAATACCTTGGGGATCATTTGGAAGCCTCTATGGGGACCCTTAATCTCTTTCTTCTGTTTTTGTCTATTTTAGTGATATGGAGCTCAATGACTGTCTCTATGAGGCACTCTTACCTTTGTAGTTGCTTGATTTGTAGCACTGACTTCCTGAGGGACTCCTCCAACTGAGAAATCTGAATATAAATATGACCCTCATTATTAGACAGATTATTCCAAGAGGCAATTCTGAGAATACACTTGGTTTGTCGACAAATGTGACATTTCAGCAAGCCTGGCTCATCGGGACCTTTGTACAGAGGTGAGTCAGGTCAGAGCTCTAGAAACACTCAGCTCAGTCTCCACAAGGCAGTGATCTTAACTAGCCAGTAGCAGCCTAGAGCATGAAGCTAGGTACACCTTAGGGATTCTGATGTCAAGTCTGAGACATGTCCTCCTCTACACAGGTGATTTCAGAATGCAGTCTACTACATGTCTGACTTTAGATCTGGCTTTATCACAAGGCACTAGGAAATGTCAAAAGGTAGAGTTAAAGTCTATAAATTTATAGTGGTGTATAAAACCTCGTATTTGCTGAGAGATTTAAGAAGGTAATACATATCAAATGAGTAACTAAGACTATACTAGAAGAAGCTGTTAGGGAGTGGTGTAGGAGTATTGTGGATAAAGCAGTGAAAAACAGAGTGAGGACAGTGAACTGTGTACAGAACCTGAGGGCCCTGCCTGCCTGTCCCATCTGTACACCAAGGCAGTGGACTGGGAAATGCCTTCTAGACTTGATGACAGATTCTCAGAACTCTGGCTTTGTAACTAGGGTCCTCACTTCATTTATTATATAACCTTTGGAGTTTTTAAAAAAGGACTTTTATGTAAAAAAACAAACAAGAGGAATGAGAAAAAAAAGCCTCTGTGCTTCTCTCGAGCTCCCGAGGCCCTAGTATTGGCCAGTCCAGCTGAGGGAGCCTAGGTGGGCAGAGTAGGCAGCTCTGTGTAGACTCCTAGGCAGGTCAGGCAAACAGACTGATGTATCATGGGAAGTAACCACATCCTCAACTGGAAATGCAAAGGAAAACAAACCTCATAGGTGCTAGTGAACTGTATTCAGATCACAGACTCAAAGAAGACAGACAGACAGACAAACAGACACACACACACACACACACACACAGAGGAATGTTGAACTATAACAATATGACATTAAAATGACAATATCAAACAATTCAAGAAGCAAGATTTTGATTTTATTTACCTTTTCTTGATAGAAGGCCACCAGTCTCCTCCTGTGTTTTTCTTGAAATTCTGAAATCTGGTAAGATAACACATTTCAGTTTTGGGGGGCACAAAGTCATGGTATACCTCTAATGGAAGTAGAAGGCTAGAAGGAACTTAAAGTTTGGGTTGTAGCATGTTCTGTTTTACATGTACTCCCCCAGTAGATCTGCATCTCCTCCCACAGGGACAGTCACAGATTACCTGGGTTTGCTTGTGGTTAATGGCTGACCAGCATAGACACATAGCTTAGATGTTTCAGTAAGGACAAAATACCAGAAGGTTGTCAAATGCAAAGGCAGGTAGGCTTATCCAATATGAACTCTAAACAATAAGGCTCTTTGTCTCTCTAGCAGCCTTCCTGTTTAAGATACTCCAGTGGGGTGCTTACTCTTGTGGTAAATAAGATAGAACACATGGTTCCACTTTGATGGTAGTGATTATCTGAGGAAGGCCTTCTGCCCAGTGAATGACCCTAATACATGGACAAGGTCAGGATTAGAGAGGTGGAAAGAGTTGAAACAAGGAAGCTTAGCATAGTGGGTAGAGCTGGCAGATACCAAGGTAGCCTTGTGTGAACTGTTAAGAGTCATCTACATCTGAAGGCAGCACCATCCCCGTCTTCACACTCACAAGAAACCTCATGTACCCTTTGTGATTTGAATTGGGCTTCTGAGAATGGTGTGAAAAAGTGAGCAGTGATCTGAGGCTCACTCAAAAAAAAGAAAGCTAGTTGATGGTTTGAGTAAATGGTGTCAACTTAGCTGAGACACTAAACTGTCACTCCTTCACCTAAATCTGTCACCACTCAGTGCTGAGACCACAGGTGTAGAGTGGTTATAGGTAACATTGATATTTTAAGGATCCATACCTCCCTCTAGGTAATAATAGCACAGACACAAAGGTAGTCTTCATTCACCACACAGCTTCCCTTGGATTATAGTAGCATCAGTCTCTATATACTTCCAGTGCAGTTCTGGTGTGGAAAACAATAACTCAACAGAGCATGCAAGTCATCCACCTTGACAGCCTACTCCTAGATATGGGACTCTATAGAGCATGAACCTTCAGATCAGCAGGGACAATATCCTCCCTGTAACTGAGCTCTTATGTTTTTGAGTCTCTGAAAATGGAGTTCTTAATTGGTTTAAATAATAAAAACCCAGAGTCAGATATAGAGGAAAATGCTGAGAGATCGGAGAGAAGAAGGAGCAAGCCAAAGCTTCCCAGCAGAAGAGAGTGAGTTCTTGTTTCTTTCTGTTTACATCCTCTCTCCACCCAGCCATCTCACTTCCTGTCTGTCCGTACAGGCCTCCTGACCTCTATGGTTAGCTAGTGGCAAGCTCCATCCTCTCATCTTCAGACAAGCTTTATTTGTACAAGCAAGATATCACCACATGTATCCAAAAAGAATCAGTTTTTGAGACAAGACAGAGACAATCTAATGACGGCTACTCACAAAGGTAAGTATAGACTCCTTTGAGGCCATTCCTGTAGGAATCCTCACTGGAGTAACAGTCAATATCCTTGAGCATCTTCCTCAACTGTGCAAACAACTCTTGCCCCTCAAAACCCAGCTCCAAGGGCCTTGTCATGAACTCTCTCCTTGCCTGTAGGGATAGCCCTGATCTTCCAGCTCTTAATAATCATGGGAGAGACTTAATGACAGATCCTACTTCCCTGACTGTGGAAGCCTGCTGGTATGATGTTTGAACAGGGTAAGGCTGTGTCTGGGGAATTTTCTTTTCCTAAAATTTCCCCTTCATACTTGTGTAAGACACAAGGCATTATCCATGTTCTAGATTTGACCTATAGGCCAGGTGGAGCTGGGAATTGTTCTGGCAGCAGACTGATGTTCCCAGTTTCTAAAAATGTGCCAGCTGCCTATTTTATGCCTTCTTTCTCAGTACATTCCACACTGGTAACAAGAGAGAAAACTTCATTTTCTAAGCCACTCTCTCAGGGACCCACAGTCTGTAACATGTGTCAATACCAATCAGGATGCAGGCTCCCAGTGGGATGGACACTGGAACCTGGCAAGGCCTGTTGATGGGGAATGCCCCCCTTGTCATGGAATGGTGAGTTTTGCATAAGAACCCTGGTAATAGCATCTTGAAGGCCTATGGTTGACTGCCCAGTCTCCACAGTTGCAGATTTGGCAGACAATAGCTGTCCCTAGGATAGAGCCAAATGGCAAGCAGCACTGGAACCCAGAATCTTGTTACGGCGATGGGCTAAGGCTTCTTAGAGAAACAGGCTTTCACTGTAGATGAGACCAGTCCAGAGAGCCTCTTGTGATAATGGGAGTGGGCAAGACCCCAAGCATCTGGGCCACTAGATCTGTCTGCCTGGACTTTCCCAGGTCTATAATCTCAGTTAGTCTGGGAGCTCTGGCTTGTGCCCAAGAAGGGGCTGTGCTCTAGACTAGAATGCTAGCAGTGGCCTCAGAAGGGAGACTTCATTAATAAAAAAAGGACTGTGAACCCTGGGAATGGTGGCACACAACTGTACCCCAGCATCTGGGAGGATGAGTTAAGAAAATTATGAGTTTAAAACAAGCCTAGGTTGTATAGTACCTTTTATGCTAATTTATACACACACACACACATACACACATACACACACACACACACACACACACAGAAAGAGAGAGAGAGAACAAAGGAATTATATGGATTGAGACAGAAGAAAAGGCCAATCCTAAGGCTGAGAATGCCCTTTGCTGGACTAGGCCTTTTCAGAGACAAGAACAGCACAGCTAGGAAAGAGAAGACAGGAGGATGGGCTGAGGGACAAGGAAGGACAGCTTCCTCTGAAGATTAGTATACTGCAGGTTGTTTAGTAAAACAAGTAAATGACATGGAACCTTGGGCTTAGCATAGGAGACACTGATACATAATGCTAGGGACAGAGGTCAAGTGAGAGTGTCACTGACTACAGGAAGTGGCATATAGCAAGTGTGTCAATGAGGAGAAGAGCAGGAAGGAACAGATAGAGAGGCAAGTGTCACAAGAGCCAGGGAAATGACGCATGGAGCTATATGCCACTATACAGGAACAAAGCAGGGATGTGCAACCCTGGTGACCACCCACAAAGGATAGAGTCAAGAAGAAATCTACTGACTGAACTTAACAGAGTTTCATCTGAGTGGAAACTGGTCCTCCAACTGAGATTATCAGAAATACTGCTGATATCTGTGGGGGAATAATGCCTAGAGGGAGGTAGATCTAAACTAAGTGAGCTCACATGTATCTCAATGGCACACACAAGCACAAACAACATAGATCAGACAGATACTATCAGCACTGAACCCTTTATGTTCAACTGTTTTGCAAGTGAGATGTTTTTAAAATAAAACTCAGAGAAGTAGAAGATATTTTCACACACCTCTGCAAGAGACTGGCTTCCAGAACACTCACATCACAGGATCTCTGAGGTAATGTGCTCTGGGCATCACCAAGTCAAGCCTCTAGGTCGCAACTCACCTGAGAAGTTTCCTGGGAATACTTCTTACACAGACCATCTATGCTCAGAAAAAATGTCTGGATATTGGAGTTAGTCTGAAGAGAAAGCAAATGACTATGTAAAAACTTCTGGCCACTAGTTATAAAATTGTCTTTCAAGATCTACAATTAACTATACATAACACAAACAGCAATTCACCCCATGAAGGTAATCACACCTCTAAGGAGCATGAGGGACAGTGGCACCCATTGGCAGCTACTAAGCCTCTCTGGATCACATGTTCACTATATCCATTGAAAATGTGCTTCAAAATGAAGGTAAAAGGGATGACTTTTTTCCAAACAAACAAAAAAACCAAGAGGATTTGTAATCAACATATTGATACTAAAAGCAAAAATAAAGGAATTCCCTGTGGGTAGGAAATGATCATTAACAGACCACAGAGTTTGGGAGGCAGCAAAGAGCAAGAGAAGAGGGAGTATGGGAAATCCAACCAAGAATTAGCTATGTGTGGTAAAGCTGTGTTGTCAATTTAGCATAAAAAGCCAATTTCCACGTGAGAAGGGAGAGGATGGTGAAAAGATCAATGGACTGAAAACACCTGAAGTCCTTGCATGGTCAGGAAAATCTAACTTAGATGAATTAAAAAAAATACTTTATTTTTATTTTAATTATGTGTATAATGTGTGTGTCTGTGTGTAGGTATGTTCCCATGAGATCAATGGAGTAAAAAATTCGCTTTCTGAAAATGCTGAAATAAGTTCAAAGTACTTAATACATATTTGCAAGGTTGCTCAGGAAAAAAGGACTCACAATAGTCATTCAAAATTAGAAAAAAAGCAGCTGTGTGTGGAGGGAGGAACTTGACTTTAATCCCAGCACCTGGGAGGCAGAGGCAGGCAGACCTTTTTAAGTTTGAAGCCAGCCTGATCTACATAGCAAGTTTCTGGACCGTCAAGACTGCATAGACAGACTCTGTCTCAAAAACCCAAAACAAATGAGTAAAATAAAATAAAAGAACATCCTTCTAGACCTTATGGACCTGCTTTGAGGTCAGTAAGAACATTGAAATGTAATTGATACTGAAAGTGTAAAACTCTAAGTGAATCTCTATGACTTCAGAATTTTAACTGTACAGAAACTCTTTGAGATCTACAGTTTGGGGCTGGATTTGAGTGGCTGTGTTAATCTAGCCAAGTAGTGTTTCTATTTGTGAATTAACTACAATAAACTTATACATACATATGTACATAAATACATACACAGATATACACATCCAGGTTGGTCTTGAACTAGTTATGTAGACCAGCCTGGTCCAGAATTCCAGTCTCTGCCTCCTATGTGTTAGAATTAAAGGAATGTGCTACTACTCCTTACTCTGAGAACTTTTATGAAGTTATTAACCATGAGTCCTCAAATTTGAGTATATAATACAGGAGAGGAAACCTTCAATTTCAGCTTGCATATAAGCATGAGTGCAAGAAATCCCAAGTGAAATAACAGCAATTAAACCTATCTGTAAAAGCTGAAGAATGCCATTATAAGTTGACTCTATTCCTGGAATATTATGTGACTTTTTTAATTTTAAAAGTAAATGAAGGGGTCAGAGAGTTGGCATAATGGTTCCTAGAACCCATGTTGGGCAGTTCAAAACTACCTGTACCTCCAACTCCAGAGAATTCAGTATCTCTGGCCTCTGTAGGAACAGCACTCATGTGCACATACCGAATACAGACACATACTTTTTAAAAACGTAAATAGTCTCCATCCCACAAACAAAATATGGTAAAACTGAATATTATCAAGAGTTACAGAAAAGTTATAATTATAGTTATATCAATTATATACCATTCTTGATTTTAAAAATATGTTTAGCAAACTAACGTACACATTCTTGGTGAAATGCTAAAACCCTGACAATGAAATAAAGACAGAGACCAGGGTGCCTGTTGTAGTCAGCATTTCTACACAGAACCACACAGGAGTTCCTGCCAATGACTGCAGACACTACTGCATATACAAATATTCTAGAAGAATAGGACCTTGAGCAAAGTCACTGTACGTGAACGCTATATTTTTTAAAAAAAATATTTTTTCCATACTGACCATTTTCTCCTCCCTCGTCTTCCTCCCCTATCCTCCTCCTAATCCTTTCCTCCTTTGTTTCTTCTCAGAAACTGGCAGGGCTCCCATTGGTATTAGCAAAGATTAGCATAACAAGTTGTGGAAAGAGTAAGCACTTCCCCTTGCATTAAGGTTGGGCTACGAAACCCAGTATGAGGAACAGGTTTCCAGGAGCTGGCCAAAGCATTAGGGACAGCCCCTGCTCCAATTGTTGGAAGTCCTAAAAGAAGATCAAGTCACACAACTATAATATTGAGGACCTATGTTGGTCTCATCCAGGCCCCCTGGTGATTGGTTCAGACTCTTAAATTTCTATGAGCTAGGTTAGTTGTTTTTGTGAGTTTTCTTGTGGTGTGCTTGACCTCTTAGCTCCTGCAATCCTTCCTTCCTCTGTTCATCAGGATTCCCTGAGCTCGGCTTGTTTGGCTGCCGTGGGTCTCAGCATGTTTCCACGAATTACTGGATGAAGACTCTGATGATAATTGGGGCAGTCACCAATATGATCATAGGACATGGCCAGTTCAGACTACATATCCACTATTGCTAGGAGTCTTAATTGAGGCCATCCTTGTAGATTCATGTAGATTCTTGCATTAGGTAGATATTTCCTGACATCCAGCCTGGGTCTGCCAGAGGGCCTTGACAACAGCAGCTGAGTCTGATGAGAGATGACATGGACTTATGGACAGGGACCACATCACCTCAGCAGATCCAGCTCAGTGGATCTCCTTCCCCGGCAGGGTTGAGGAGTATATAAGGCTTACCCCTTCCTGGAATAAACTGAGCTTGTTTCAACTTATTTCTGATGCCTGTGCTGTTGGTGTTGTGTCTACTTTCCCCTACCCTCCAAGAGACACCTGTTGGGATCCTGCAACAACAAGGGAAACAAATGGCCTAAACATTCAACCCAGGAAGCTGAAGAAGGGTCAGGGTCAGAGGCTCTCTTTCCAGACTAATCCTCACCTTATAGCAGAAAAAGGGTGCATGCTGCAACATGTCATTTGCAAGGAATTCAAACTGTTAAGTGTTTGGAGAAAAACAGGTACTTTGTATTAAAATTTAAATATTTTTCCCTTTTTTATACTTCTAGGAATTTATGCCATATACTCTTGCAATTTTAGACAGAAATTGGTAAACTGGTGAGTGTGAGGCAAAGCAAAAAAACAAAATAAAACAAAAAAACGAGGTTGTTTAAAAGGAAAATGGTAAGATATTATTCAGCCATGCAAAAAGAATGTACTACAAACCTAGTATCATTTGGAGAACATTCTGTAAAAATAAAAATCATAAGCTACACAGGCTAGGTGCCAACTCCTGGGATGCTGTCATTGGGAACTGGATCTGGGAATGGCCACATTATCTGTTAGGAATTTCTATACTGTCTGAGTTGTTGGGTAACTCTGTTTTTGTTATAAAAACTGTGATGTTTAAAAATAATGATTCAAATATACATTTGGAGAACAGGCATAGAAGAGAAAACTCATTTAAGAAGAAGTTTATACTAAAGGATAAATTAATCTGACAAATTTATAGATAGAACTAAAGGCACTGGTTTAAGGCAATGGAGCAAATAATTGACTTTAACTTACATTATTAATTATTTATTATAACTTTTATGAAAAACCAAATTCGCCCAATCAGGAAGCCAGTGTTGTACTAAGAAAAACTAACCAATTTTCATTTCTAAGAATATAGTACAATCCAATAAACTGTGATTAAGGCTAACCTATGGATAAGAAGGAAAGCATAATGATGTTTAAAAACCAAATCCTGATTGGTATGGAGATTCATGTCTGTAAACTAAGGCAGAAGGATCTTGTGTTTGAGGACATCCTGGATGGCACAGTGACAAACACATGACAAATGCATTTTGCTTAGAAAAACTAAACAAAAACAAAGAAAATTACAAACAAATGCAATCAAAACCAATTAACAGTAAAACCAAACCACAGAACAAATAGCAAAACCAAATCCAATTATGTTTTTTATTCACAAGTCTCATTAATCTAGCAAAATGAATAAAAATTAAAGATATTGTAGTTACTAAAAATCTAGACTCAAGTTAAAAGGAAATACTACTATAATGAATATTCAAATTCGAGGGATTTTAACTTACATTTTTTGAAAGTAAAACTGTATTACACGGAACTCGACAGATCATGCATTCATCTTTTTTACCTATCAAAAGAAAAACAAATGTTTAACTACATTATACTGAACAGTGCTGTGAAACATGTGTGAACACCAACTTTGAGTTAGAATGCAGGATTACACGTAAATGTTTTTACATTCTTATGTGATGGCACTGTGGATTCAGAGAAACAATTTATACAATCATTTATTTTCCTGCTTTGTAAATGTGTGCCCCTCCAACAGTGACCATAAGTGTCAACAATACTTTAGATTTTACAGCAGTATCCTTTCCGCCCCCCCCAGTGTACTTGTGTTAAGGGAAGCTTTTTCTTTGCTAGCCGCTTTGGTTTATCCCCCGCCAGCCGCCTGGGCTCTGCCACATTGTAGTCCCCAAATAAACACACAGGAGGCTATATTAGTTATGAAGCTGTTGGCCTTGCTTGTCTCTTACTGGCTAGCTCTGCTTTAAGTAATTACCCCATAATTGTTAATCTAAGTATGTCTCTTACCAGAGAATAGTTCCGGGCTCCTACCCCATGGCGGCTACATGTTGACTCTGTGTTTCTCCTACCCAGAGTCCTTCTGGACTCCTAGTCCCTCCTATCTAGATTCCCTATTGGCCAGACAGTGCTTTATTCTTTATTGACAAATGCACAGGACTTCCCCAACATACTTGTGTGCGTGTGTGTTGGGGGGCTGGCACTCATATACACTAACTATTTTTACCATTAAATTTTAGCACCAGCCCTTTTAAATTTTCCTTTTTAGGTCTGGGCATGATGGCATACAACTTTGATCCCAGCACTCAGGAGGCAGAGACAGAAGGGCTCTGTGAGATGCTGATCTACACAGTGAACTTCAGGGTAGCCAAGCCTACATAGATACCTTGTCTCAAAAAAACTAAAAAAAAAAAACCCTCAAAAGTCTTTGAGACTAGATCTTGTTGAGTTGTCCCAACAGGCTTTGAACTTCCAATCCTCTTGTTTCACCTTTCAACTAGATAGAAGGCAAGCACTATCGCTTGTTTTAGTGATTTTAATTTAAAATGAAAATAACACCTTCACATCACTGCTGTGTTCCTGCTACATAAGAGCACAAAAAATTTATATATGTTCTACCTGCCAGCTTGTAACTAATTCATGTGCTCATGCTCTAGTTCTTTGCTGATCACCTAGGGGGATTCTGTCTGTATTTCACTATTTTCTCCTTGAAACTGACTTCCATCTAGGCTTGAGTCTTTGAACTCCATGGCTAGCTCTTAACACCAGGCATGTTGTCCCATCCATTCTCATAAACACACCCTGGGCTCCTTATCAGCATCTCTGTGGCTACCAAGCCTATGAAAAAAGCCAGCATTGTCACAGGATTTCTTACCATTAAACTACCTATGTTGAGATAATTGTATATTCTCTCTCTCTCTCTCTCTCTCTCTCTCTCTCTCTCTCTCTCTCTCTCTCTCTCTCTCTCTCTCTCTCACACACACACACACACACACATACGTAGGGGGTGAAGATAAGCAAATGTAAACATGTCAAGGGCAGAGGACAATTTCCAAGAGTCAGTTATCCCCTACATTGTATTCTGCAGATTGGACTCAGATAATCAGGATTACAGCAAATGTGGTTAACTGCTGATATATCTTTGCCAGCCCCTCCTCTCTTCTTATAAAGGCATTCAAGTCACTGTTCTCCACCCCCACCATCCACCCTCCATAGCATGTTTCTTTTCTCTCTCTCACTCCATGTCCTATTGAACTATCTCAAATAAAGCTGCACAGTAAACGATTACAGAACAGACTCACAAGCCTTGTGCTAGAGAATGGAGATTGAGGGGCAGAGAGGAAATCCCTTGCAGCTCACCGCCAAAGTAGCTGATATTTAATATATATTGTTTATAGACCAACTAAAAACCAATACTACACTAAAAGACTGTGAGAGGACCTGAATGAACAATCAGCAAAAAGAGCCAATAAATGTATAAAGAAAACTTTGGTGTTGGGGAATATTATTTTCAGGTGTATGACTTTTGCTTATGCTGCATTTGTTTAACTCTGTGAAGCTGTGTTACTGTGCCTGTCTTAAACACCTGGTGGCCCTAATAAAGATCGAGGCAGCAAGGATAGGTGGGGCTGGTAGGCAGAGAGTATAAACAGGAGAAATGAGGGGCTCGAGGGAAGAAAAAGGAGAGGAGCTGCAGGGGTCAGCAACTCAGCCACCCAGCTACACAGCAGTCCATGGAGTAGGAGTAAGATTTACAGAAACAAGAGAAAAGGAAAAGCCCAAAGGCAAGAGGTAGATGGGATAATTTAAAGATAAGAAAAGCTGGCTAGAAATAAGCCAAGCTAAGGCCAGGCACTCATAACTAAGAATAAGCCTCCCTGTGTGATTCATTTGGGAGCTGGGTGGAGGGCCTCCCAAGAGAGAAAAAACATTAAAAGATACACACGTGAAGAGGGCACGTCAAAGGGAGAATCTAGATGGGCACTGCCTTTCTGGAGAGCAATTTGGCCTACTTTAATGTGCACATCCGCATTTTAGTAGTTCTACCCCTAAGTAGTAGTCAAATGGCATAAAACATAAAATGTCTTTCAGTAGGAAATGAAATAACCTATGGTATAGTACCTGGGGATATTTACAAACTTAAAAATAAAACAGACTAATTTGTGTGTGTGTGTTTGTTTTTTGTTTTTATCGAGACATAGTTTTTCTATGTAGCCCTAGCTATCCCAGAATTCTCTCTCTCTAAATCAGTCGGAACTAGAACTCAGGGATCTACTTGTTTCTGCCTCCTGAGTGCTGAGATTAATGGCATGCCCCATCACTGCCTGACTGGAACAATGAAGACAATCAGTGCCCTAGTAAGCAATAAGAGCAGTTTACTAAATTATATGTGTGTGTGTGTGTGTGTATTTTTTGTTTTAAAAACCCGAAATACCATGGCCAACAAATTAGTTCATCTTGGGTAAAAACACTTGCTAAAAAGTGTAATCCTCAAAGTGGAGAACAAGGAACAACTGCTTACAGATAGTTCCTTGACTTCAACCCCACAGTGTGTGTGTAAAATTTCCATCAAGGGCTGGAGAAATGACTCAGAAGTTGTATAACACTAGCTGATCTTCTAGAGGACCTGAGTTCAATTTTCAGCACATGGCGGCTCACAGTCTTACAGATACCAGGCACAAACGTGGTGGACAGACATACATGCAGGCAAAACATAAGTAAACATTTTTAAAAAGCCTGGGAGGATATACATCAGATTTTAACTAGAGTGTAATGAACATGGGTCACTAGAACTAGGTAGGTTAAGACTCTGTCTAGAACTCCCTATCCTTTTCCCCTAACTTTGTGTGTGTGTGTGTGTGTGTGTGTGTGTGTATATACCTGGGGTCGGTGTAATTCCAACATACAGTAAATGTGGTTTTTGGAAGATAACTTCAGGGTACTGGAATGTATGTTTGCTTCACAATTCAAGACCCAGAAGTACCTTGATGTGCTCCCACCCAAGACCCTAAAGTAGTCACCCACACCAGTATTGGGGCCTTATAATTTGCCACATCATGAAGGCACCTATCTTTAGGCTATGTGCTAAATTGTTTTAACTTTATTTCACATCATTGGTGACTTTTACCATTGACCCAGTAGATGCTTTCAAACAGCGATTCTTTGACTTGAGGGGAAAATCTAGGACATCAACACCCCTACTTCCTTTTTTACACAGCATCTTTCTTCTGTTTCTATTTACCACCCACAAAATATACTTCCCAAGGTGGTAGTGTTTTCACCATTGGCATTCCTGACTTTGAATTACAGATCCCTAAGCAAGACTACCTCCTGTTTCCTTCCTAGACAGCTCCCACAAGACAGGGTCTAAGGCAGCATTTCTCAACCTGTGGGTCGCAATCTTTCACAGGGGTTGCCTAAGACCATTGGAAAGCATATTTACATTGCAATTCATAACAGTAGCAAAATTACAGTTACGAAGTAGCAATGAACATAATTTTATGACATGGGGGGTGTCATCACAACTTCAATTGTATTAAAGAATTGCAGCATTAGGAAGGTGAGAACCACTGCTGCTGTACTGTGTGTGTGTGTGTGTATGTGTGTGTGTGTTGTTTATATTGAGACTTGGTTTCTATGTGTAGCCCTGGTTATCAGACTGCTTCACAGAAAGAGTTCAGCTCCTTGCTTCCTTGAATTAAGTCTGTTGAATCTACTTAGCATTCCCTAAATCCATCATTTTTCCTGATCGCAAGGACACATCTTGTTTTCCATTGCTTCTCGCAAGCCCCATTACACAGCTCCTCCTGAATTTCTCTCATTACAGACTACTTTTCACACCAGGCTTCCTCTTAGAGCATATACCAGAAACCCAGGAATGCTACCCCTGGTTGCATGCATATACCTTACGGGCACAACAGCAAAAGTTTTCACACATCTGTCACCCCACGTATCTGGAAACCACCCATGCTAGCTCAACTAATGAAGAGTTCCGTGACTGTGGCACCTATGTGTACAACGCTGACCCAAACTGTGTGTACATTCCTAGACATTTAAAGTAAAGCCGGAAAACAAAATGAACTGAGGTGAATCATCCGAGGCCTTGTTGCGTACCAGTTCCTTTACTTGCCAAATTAAACACGTCCGGCACTTCGTGAAATCCCACTGCTTCCGCCCCCCAGCCCCCCCCCCGCTTCCACCGTCGCAGCAGTTTTACTTCAACAAAAAAGGCGTTCGCATTTGACCAGCTGGCTGCTGCGAACCAGCTTCTCGCCACACCCCCAAGTAAGTAAGCAGCAGCCAGCTTTCTGCAGCTCCAGCTCGGGATCACAGGCGGGGCTCGGGGGCCCTGGAGCCGCGCAGGCCCACAGTGGTCTCTCGCCCCTGCCCTGCCCGTGGGAACCCCGGGGCCAGCGACCGGTTCCGGTTCGCACCTTTTTGAAGGCAGGCGTCGCAGTACACGTGCCCGCAGCTGGTCAGGCTGAAGGACGACTTCCTGTGCGGCGGCTGGAAACATCGATTACAGAACACCCAGCTGGCCATGACCCGGGGCCCACGTGAGGCCCACGCGACACCCGCGAGAGGCCGCGCTTCTCAGTGCGCAGGCGCAGACTAGAGAGACAGACGGACGTGCGCCTGCGCATCGCTCACTGTGGGGGCGCATGCGTACTAGGGCATAGCTTCCCTCCCTAAACCTTGGAGCTGATCCGAAGGCAGCCTTCGTGGTGGTGGAGGGAAAACCTGGTGGTGTGTCTGGGGGGCAGGGATAGTAGTTTCTGGTACACCAGGAGGAAGTGGGTGGCTAAAGAAGCTGGGTGAAAGTGGACATTAAGGGAGACTGGGTAGATCAGGCCAAAGAGTAGACATAGGCCTGGGGGCGTCTGTACATAACCACAATGGAGAGGAGGATGGAAAATAGGGTACCATAGTGTCCTAGCAGGGCTGGAGGAATGGACTACCAGGAGGATGGGGGGATAGAGTTTTGGACCAGGCTAGCAGGGCCACAAGGACCGAGGGAACAATGGTTGGGAGAGATTGCACTGGGCCATCGGACAGAAGTTTATCAGGGCAGGACAGAGGTCTCCCTGCTTGCCAGCAACATGTACACAAGAGAGGGCTTAATTTAGGGAAGATCATTTCACCTTAGAAACAATAGATGGTGGAAGGGGCTGATTTCTGGTGATATTAAAATTATTTCAAAATTTAAAACATTACTTTTTAAATAGTTGTGTTTCACATAATTCTGGATACCTTTCCTTCCCTCTTCGTAAGTGTACAAGGATTGGTAGAGGCTATATGAGAAAGTTTCAGAGCTATTTACATGTATGGAGAAAAGTTTACTGTTTTCTAAGGAATTAGGACAAAGTAAAGATGGAAAAAGATGCATTTGACTATGCAGAACTGTATTTGTTACACTAAGCCCTTAAAATATGTCTGGTCCAAATTATGCTGTTAGCATAATATAGAACCCAGGTTTACAAACTTAGTATGAATAAAAAGATATAAACTATCTTTTTGTATTTAGTATACATTAAAATTAATTTTGTTTGTGTTATACTGTCTTGTTTGTGAGATAAGGTCTTTGTGACGGTTTGAATAGGTGAAATCACATAACTTAAAATTGCATCTATAGCTCATTGGTTGTTGCTAATTTATGTCAAACTTAAAATAAAATGATGTGCTATTTTATAACATTATTAAAGTAACATTTTGACCAGGAATGCCAGTCTGTAATATTAACTTCAACCTTTGATATCTTGTAAAGCAAAAAATAAAGACACATTTATACATTACATATATTTTGGTTTATTAATTCAAACATTGTACAAATTATTTGCTTTCACTTATAATATTTTAAGCAAGCTTATTAGCTATGGAGAAATGTTTACTATGCTTCATCTGAAAAATTCCAAACTGAGAAAAAGATTAATATTTGTGCAAAAGCCCACCACAAAACATTTCTATTTGTATCTTCACTGGTCATACAGAAAATTTACACACAGTCCTATTCAGAAAAGAAACAGCTTTAGTTTAAAGTGCTTTCTGTGTGATTTTGAGGGGGGAGGGTTGCTGTATGTGTTCTTGATATTTAATATTACCTAGTTAATATAAAAAGTTGAATATCATTTTCTAAGTTGTAATTTATTATTTAGCCAAGTGTAAGACACCAATCTACTTTATCTTCTACTTTATATGTTTTTTACCATCAGGCAAAATGAGTATTACTCAACAGTGATAGATTTTCATCTTTAAATCTTTATACTGGACTCCATGCTACACACTTGACTGTCAAATTACCATGCATTATCCTGATTTTTTAGATGATATCACTGGGAGTTGGTGATGAGAAGTAGTAAACTGGCTCAGGACCTCAGGACTCAGCACATCAACAGGTGATGACCCATTTGCTTTCCTTCATCTTACATATCCTAGTCCATACATAAGAAAAATGTGTAATTTATAAGGTGGGAGGCAAGGGGGTGTATCTTCGGAGAGTGAAGCCCTTTGATGCTACATGTCCTAGTCAAGAAGAATCATCTGAAGGAAATTGCATTCCTTGCACTGGATGCTTCAACTATGGAGAGGATGGGATGGAGCTCTAGCAAGGTATTTACCCCACACTGAATAAGCAACATAGAACACCTTTCCTGGATATTCACAGAACTAGGAGTCCAAAGAGGAGAGAGCTGGAGGAAAAGATCCAATCTGGGTGTTAGGTCATGGTCATACATTAAAATAGTCCATACATTAAAATAGGATGCATATTTTGACTCTAAATTGTTAAATAGGAACCAGTGTGATAGCATAATGCTTAAGGTGTCCAAAATATAATTCAGAGTTTCTTGCTCTGTGAAGAACCAGGAAAACTTCAACTGGAATGAGAGATGACATTTACCTAACACCAGTACCAAGATGACACAGTTGTTACAATGATCTGACAAAAACGTTAAAGCATTTGTCATAAAATTTCTTTAAACAGCAGTATGAACACTCATAAAATAAATTAAAAAATACAAGTTATGAACAGAACAAGATGAACATATTCAAACAGGAAAAAATACAGTATTTAAATTTGGAAAAACTCGACCTTGCCGAGTAGACTCAATAAAGGAGCAAAGATGATTGGAAAGAATTAGTGAGGCAAAACTAGATTAATAAAAACAATCAAGCATGAATAATGGAGAAGAATGACATTTTAATAGAGTTTCCCATACTACAAAACAATGATCAAAGGTCTAAAATCAAAGGTCTAACCCTGAACTCCAATTCCAGGGGGAAAGAAAAAGAAAGGGCAGAAAAAAATGGAGAAAATAATGACTAAAAACTCCTCAAATTTTGTGACATAACTTACAGATTCAAGAAGCTTGGCATACCTCAACAGGATATACCTCTAAAAACAAAATCCATCTTCACAATCAATTTCCAAAATTTAAGGATCAGAAAAAAAATCTGGGAAATAGTGGGAGAGAAGGTTCATGACTAACAGGAGCAAAGACACCAGCAAGTGGTGTTACATGCTTCAACCCTGAAATAATGCTAATCACAATGCGTGTAACAAATAATCTCCGAAGATAGTCTTAGATCAATGGAAATTTAAGATTAAGGAAGTCAAAATCGAGTTAAAAGAACTCTGGCCCAGACGTGGTAGGTTATGGCATTAATCCCGTGACCTCACTATGTATCTTTGGGTAGCCTTGAACACACTAGGGCATCCTCACAGAGATCTGCCTTCTGAGTGATGGGGCTGGGCCATCTGCCATTCTCTACTCTTTAAAGTGACAGTTTGAAAGTGGCTGACACTTGAAAACAAAAATAAATAAATAAATAAATACATAAATCAACATTTCTGTGCCGTTCAGTGTATATGAAGATAATATAAGAAAATTACAAATGGTAGAGCTGAGGTCTTTATGTTTCTCTTAAAATGGTAAGATAGGAGATGTTAATAAGTAATAGAACTATAGAAAGACATAGTGAAAAAACACTGTAGATAAATCAAAGTAAAGCATAAAATGTTCAAGAAACCCACAGGTAGACAGGAAATGGAAGCAGGAGACAAAAAAAAAGAATGTAAAAGTAACAAAATGGCAATCAAAACTTCTATTAATAATTACATGGTATTTAAAATAGTCTAAACACTAAAAAAAGATGGTAGGGATGGACTTTAAAAATCCAAATATAATGCAGTTTATGGGAAAATAATTTTGAGCACAGTGTTATTGGTAGGTTAAGGAGTAAAAAGTAGGGGAGCTGGCCCGGCAGGACCCTTGCCTGGCTTTGAGTGTGTCAGGCAGGTGGGCAGCAGGCAGGCACCACTCTGTTGGACGAGTGTGTGAAGGAGAGATGTGAGGATGGAGGAGTGACCAGTGAGTGTGCTGTGGGGAGAAGCAGAACTGGGGATGTGATGGCGGTGACAGGTGAGAGAGGGCTGACTTGGATGCAGGCCCATGGGATCGCCCTGGCTCTGGGCGATGATGAGGCCTCAGATGAGGACCAGTTCACTCTCTGGATTGGACCTCCTTGAAGGACCACCGTGGTCCATGATGCCATCAGAGGTCACACTGGTGCCTGTGGTCCATGCTGCTGCCCCAGGCCTAGATGAAGGCAGAGATCCACGCAGACACATGAGATCTGTGTCACTGACTGAAGCCTTGGCCAAGACCTTGGGCTTTTGTTGTCTTTGGGGGCTGTGCGTGTTGATGTGAGGAGCCTGTGTAGCCACTAGAGGCTACGTTGAGGCTGGTGATCTGTGCTGCCACTGAGTGCCAGGAGTGGGTGAGTGGTTTTTATAAGAGGGGGGCCGTGTTGGTATCTGTGGCCGTGTGGATATCTGTGGTCTGTGCTGCAGCCTCAAGCCGTGTTAATGCCTGGGGTGAGTGGCCTGCGCTGGCATCCTGAGGCCATGATGATGTCCCTGTCTGTGCTGCTGCTGAGTGCCGTGTCTGGGTCTGAAGTCCTACTGCAGCCTGGGGCCTTGTCCCTGGTCTGTACTTTCACCAGAAACCATGTGGAAACTCATAATTCATACTCCTGCTGACAGTAAGGAGCATGGAAGCTACTTCTTTTGCAGAGATTTTGAGGACTGCAGACACATAGTTGAGGAAGAGGGACATGGAAGGCTTGTGTGACAACACCTCCCCTCCCCCCACAAAAAGTACAGCATAAACAGGAAGCCATCAAAGAGATGATAAGTGTGATAAGGATGCTGAAGAGTAGCTCTCCATAATTGATGGCTCCTGCCAGGGATGCAGTAGGGGAACTACTCAGCTCTGCTTAAGGGGCAGGCCACTGAGAGTTTGAACATGCTTCCACGAATATACAGATAACAAAAATTGGACTTTTAAAAATTTATTTTGTTGGGGGGAGTGGTCACAAGGGCAGGGGAGCAGGCATGGAAGGATTAAGTATGATCAGGGTATAGAATGTGAAATTCCCAAAGAATCAATACAAATATTATGTTAAAAAAGAAGTGCATGCTTAATAAAAACTTGAGTGGCTCAGATTAAGTGGATATTAGAGCAAAAAAGTCATTAGGATTAAGAGACATCACAAAGAGGTAGAAGAGACATAACTATCACAAGTTTACCA